CTTAATTATATGTTGATGTGGTGATAAATTATATTTGTTGTGGATTATATATCTGGTTTCAGTTGAAATTAATTGTTGTTCCAACTAGAAAATTTTAAAAATTATCCACTAATTTGGCCTACTCGCACATATGGTGTATTATATTTGACTATCATTAAACTTGATCCATTAGTATTTTAATCATAAATAGCAGTATTCTAATTATTAGTGCAAAACTAGTATTCTATCATGTGAATTTGCACATGTGTATACAAGGGAACGATATTGACGGAATGGTTCTGTCAGTATTTGTTGCCGTAGATTATCTACACAACATAATCTACATGTGTATCCAATGATACAAAACACTGACGCAACCATCCCGTAACGGGACCTTAGCATTTTTCTATAGTATTAAAATTATAAGATAGATAATGATATTGTATATATTTAAACATAAAATATTGTAAGCTATATTTAAGCATATAATATTAAAATCATAATTTAAATAATGGTTTATGTTTTAAAATTTGAATCATTGGTTAAATAAATAGTACATAACGATTTGATTGCATAGAATCACTATATTAATTGCATAAAATGTAATTTTTGTAATTTTGAGGGATCACGATCAATTAATTAGTTGAAAAATATTAAATTTATTATAACAATTGCTTATGAAATTTTAAAAAAATTTACTACGACATTAAAGCAAATTAATTTATTTTAAAAATAATCTCTTAATCAGATAAAAAAATACAATATTAGAATAAATAACTTGAACATAAAGTTTTTACAATATAACCTTTATTTTATGTAACATTCATATATCATTTAGTGTAAAATATATTATTAATTTTAATATATTTATTATATGATTGAATAAAAAATATAATTATTATTCAATTAATATAAAATATAACAGTTTTTGTCTTAATTAAGTTACAAAAAAGTGCAATGAAATATTGTATTATCTATATCTATATATATATATATATAAATAAAGAGGTTGTTGGAAAAATACATTAATAGAAAGTTTGACCAAATAAATATAATGTTTGACTTACTATTAATGGAAAGTTCAAAAAAACACATGCGAATCTTTAGTAACAAAATCTAAATCCTATTTTTTTGGTAACAAATTCGGAGATTCTTATGGCAAAATTTGAATCCCATATTTTTCGTATCATATTTTATTTTTTTACCAAAATTTAAATCATATCTTTTTGGTAACAAATTTGGAGATTCTTATGCAAAAAATGTGTCAATTATTTATGAAAACAATTTTAAATACAAATTAATTTAAAAACCGTGCAAATTGGATACAAATTTAGGAAGCAAATAGTTGTATAATTCTTAACCAATTCTAACAATCTTATTGACTAATTTTTTCTTTCAAAAAAATTGTGTAAATTGGATAAAGCCACGTGCAGTTTTTATATTAAAATAAAACTGATATTTGGATGGGATGTACATTCAAAATTGTGTCCACATTTTTTGGTAACAAAAGCGGTTCATCATTGATATTTAAAGTCGCCTTATCCAATTATTTAGGAAAAAATATGTGCAACTTTTCAAAATTTAAATGCATCGATTTTTTTGGATTCTTATGTTTTTTCTTAACCATGTTTTACCGAGATTTTGGTAAGTTCATATCATTTTCTTTAGGAAAGAGACAGTTGCATAAACATTAACAATTTATTTCAATTTTTTATTAGAATTATTTTTAATTCAATTTGTTTGGTACAAAAATTGGTGCAATGTTAGGAAAATTTGGTTGCAATTTTAGGAAAAATTGATGATTTTTTTTATTTGGTTTTAAAAAAAATTCGGAACAATTTGTTTGATAAAAAAATCGGTTTATTGGTAGAAAAATCGGTCATTTCCGAGACTAACTAATGATTCTTTTCATTTTTTCTTAATTGAAATTTAGAATTAGATTTAAAATAAATAATGGGTGAAAATCTCTAAAAAAATTTACTTTTTTTTTCTACTTTAATTTTGTTCAATAAATAAGATCCTTTAATTTTTTTTAAAATTTGTTAACTAATAACTAATAATATGCAATTTTGGATAAATTCGAACACCTATGCAGTACTTTACGTGTCAAAGAATCAAATCAATAATGTTGTACATAAGGAAGTGTTTAATAACATATAAATTTAATGTATAACATTATTGAAAAGATATTTTTTTCATGAAAATTAAATTTAATGGCATGAGACAATTTAAATACAAAAATATCTTTTCAAAAATATATATAATAATAAATGCTCCCGTGCATTGAAAAATATATATAATAATAAATGCTACCGTACTAGTATATTGAAAAAGGTTGATGGTAAATTCATTTTTGGAAAGCTAAAAAAAATGAGTCAAATATTTGACTTACTAATTGTGGAATATGTTTAAAAATCCAAATTTTTGTTTGGTTTGTTAGATTTTTTAATTTTTTTTTTTAATTTTTTTTAGGATAATTGCACAGATTGAATGCATAATTTACGGAGTTAAAATTCTCTTTAGCAGAGAATCTGTTCACGGAATTTATGGAATCTCTTCAGCCTAGAATTCAGTTTGAGCAAAAATTATCATATAGCAATTAATATTTACGTACATTTTAATACAAATTTCAAGTAATCTTTCTAATATATAGATATGGCAATTAATATTTCCGTACAAAAATGAGTGATTCATAAATATTTACTACAATCTGTTATAGTTACTCCAAAAATTGAATCCTATTTTTTTGTAATAAATTTGGAGATTCTTATGTAAAAAAATGTGTCAATTATTTATGAAAACAAATCCAAATACAAATTAGTTAAAAAAATCGTGTAAATTTTGTTTTAAAACAATATTGAAATTTGGACGGAATATACATTAAAAAATGTATCTATTTTTTGGTAACAAAATCATTTTATCTTTGACATTTAAAATCAAACTTCATCCAATTATTTAGGAAAGAAATTCAAATATCGTGTGGAACTTTTCAAAATTTGAATGCACCTATTGTATAGATTCTTATGTTTTTTCTTAACCATGTTTAACAATATTTTGGTAAATTCATATCCATTTTTTTGGTAAGTTCGTATCATTTTTTTTAGGAAAGAAATAGTTGCATAAATCTTAACAAAATATTTCAATCTTTTATTAGAATTAATTTCAATTTGTTTGGTAAAAAAATTCGCTTCAATATTACGAAAATTCGGTTGCATTTTTAGGAAAAAATGATGATTCTTTTTACTTTATTTTAACCAGACATTCGGATCAATTAGTTTGGTAAAAAATTGATGTATTGGTAGAAATTTTCAGTTTTATTTTTAGAAAAAAACTAATGATTCTTTTCAATTTTACTTAATAAAAGTTTTGAATTAGAATTAAAAGAAATTGCGTGGAAAAACCTAAAAATCTCTACTTTCTTTCTACTAGAATTTTGTTTAATAAATAAGATCCTTTAATTTTTTTAGAAAAAATATAATTTGTTAATTAATAACTAATAATACATAATTTTAGATAAAATTCGAACACCTATGTAGTATTTTACGGTCCAAAGAATCAAACTAAGAATTTTGTACATATGAAGGTAGACATGGCCATAACCCGACCGCCGGGCCTCCGGGTTGAGTTTCATGGACCCTGAACTGGCACCATTGGCGGATTTAAATAGGGGCCTGTAGGGGCACAGGCCCCTGTGCAATATTTAAAAATATTTTGTATATATATATACACATAATTACATTTTTGATGATATCACAGGGCTCGAAGCTAATCTTGGAATAGCTAGAGGACGCTATATAGGAAAGCAAGGCCCAAAGTGCCTACTGGCCGCGTTTGGCTAAGATCCTTTCTGACTCTGTAAAAGTGCCGCTCGAACTCTACTTACCGGGGAGGAATTATGTCTTATCATCCGTTATCCTTCGCCGACAGTTTGGCAGTCAACAGATTTTCTTTCATTGAAACGGTTGTTACAACTTTGTCGGTCATTTTTCTTCCTGTGCGTGCCTCCCTGGGTAGGAAAGAAATATTATTTTCTGTACTATAATTTTATTATAATAAAAATACAATTTAAAAGTTAAATATCATAATTTTAAATATATGATGTTGAAGATCAATCATTCCCACTAGATAGGTTAACATGTATATATTAAACACAAATTCTTATGTGAGGCAGTCCGTGACGTGGATGGATTTAGCC